TAGAGAACTGAAAAAAAGGAAAGGTACTATTCTTTTTTCTGTTATGGCAACATAAATAAGAAATTATTCCACTAAAGTCAATAAAGTCTCATCAGCATATTATTTGCAAACGAAGAATAAGAATCTGATATTCAGAATTTAGAGAGTCAGGAAGGGGCTTTTTTTTTTTTTTTTTTAAATCACTTAAGATATGCATTAGCCAAATGCAACAATGCTGGGAAAGTCCTAAAAGACCACAGTTTAGCAGGCAGTATTTTCTAATATGTGTCTGGTGTTTACCACATTTACTCATCAATTGAAACTTACTTTTGTGATTATCAAGTAAACTTTAAAAAAAAAAGTTAATCAGTTCTGTTTTAAGGAAGTGTCCTTGGTTATTTTTCTTATACATTGCCTCAACGACTACACTGCGTATGTGCTTTCTGAACGCCACTCTGAAGCTTAATAACCTTACTTGAAAAAGCTGGTGAGGAAGTCCTTGAGATAAACCATAAAACAAATATGAACAAATAGCCCAATACTGTTTACCATTGCTATTTTTACATATTGTCAGTGTGTTTTCCAATAGTAACTAATTAATTTTCAAATAGTCAGAGATGTTCTGAAGCATTTCTTGATTGCTGAGTTTCACTTCTTTCCAAAGATTCCTGGAGAGATACTGCAGTTAACAACATCACAAGTGATAGCTGAGAGACAGCTGCTATTAGAAGGAAGAGAGATGATGCAATGCCCCATGACTTAGCTACACATTTCTTATGAAATACCCTGCCACTGAATGTGTTCACTGATGAGTATGATACCCAAAGGGCTTCGTTAGGTTTGAAATGTGTATATGAAGCCAGCAAGAAAATAATTTAAATTAAGTTATTTTTCTTTAAGACAAGGCTCTGACGTTAAATAAAAGCAATGGTACATATAGTTAGTGGTCCTTCCCTTAGTAGGTGTAACCAATTACAACATGAGTCACTCACATTCTTTGTTACTCATTCAGTCTTTTCATTATTTATTATTTTTCCTTTAAATATGTGTTGTAGAGAAAGCCCAAGTTTTCACTATTACTGCCACAAATTTGAAGATTAATACAATACCCAGTTTTTAAGTCAAATGACAAGAAATAACCACACATTTGGAGAGGAGCTTCTGTATGTGCCCCTCTGTAAATGAGGGTTTTCTAACAGGTCAGTTTCAAGTTTCTTTCCATCATAACTCATGCTGTCAGTGGAAGATGATACCACATCTCTGGCACCACAAAAGCTCTCAGAAGTTCTATCCAGGAGAGAATCACAGTAGACAGGATAAAACAGGCAAGAAGACAAAACAGAAAAGTTCCTTATCACAGAAAGCTGAAAACCCAAGGTGTAAGAGAAAGCAAATGAATTCTGATAAACAGGAGAGGATAAAGGTGCAATTGCTTGTAAGCCAGTAAGCTTCGATCACTGCATCACAAGTTTCATGTGTTTTGCCATTCATATATTTTATAGCTAACAGTCAAAATCAAGAAGAAAGGCGGCGAATAAGCAATTACTAACTTTTGAGCTTTCTGGACTCAATTTATGTATTTCAGTTAAATATCTGAAGTTTGATAAAATGAGTCAGGGTCTTAGTTCAATTAACCCTTCTTCCAGTTGTCTTTTGCACTGCTAAAAATCTTCCTCTAAAAAGGAATTAAAGACATCCCCTCTCTAGCAGGTTATGTTATGTATGCCAAAAATAAAAAGCTCTATTAATAAAGAATTTATAGTCTGCAAGAGTAAGGTCAAAGAATCAATCAAGGACTTGGATGTAACACATTATGAAGAAGTTTTACAAGGTATACAATAATTCAACTTGGTAACTCAAAAGACAAATTTCACCAACATATCATGCTATAGTCGAAAAACAAATAGCAGGATTGACAAAATACAGAGTAGTCAAATTTAATTAACAAAATTAAACCTCCTACATAAATTCCAGGACAGTCTTTTGGTATTAAATTGTTTAAAAAATTTCCCCATAGCTGAAGTTCTGGGAAGTTTTAGAACTGCTGTTTTGAATGAGTGAGGCATTTGCTAAGACTCCTGAGACTAACAGCATGGATGCTATGATCCTCTTTGTATCCACAAAGTAGAACATAAGCATAAGCAATGTCTTATGCAATTCGACAGTACTATCTATTTTAAGTTTAACCACTAAGGACTGGATCAAGTGCAATCACAGATGAGATCTGGAGGAAATGACACTTCTTTTTTCCCCTCCTTAGTTAATACCTGATGTGTGGAAGTGAAAAATCACTGAGGATTACCATAACTGCTTAAAAGAGAGTTTACAAAAAGAACACAAAAAACTTTTAGAAACCAAAACAGCTTGGACAAATTTTTACTCCTCTTATCACTTCAATTTTATGCATACTACTGCTACTAAAATGCAAATAGTACCCAAAATTTAACTGTTACTGAACGTTTGCTCTTACTGCAATTACTTGCAGCTTCTCAGTTTATGCATTCACATGAAGCTTTCACACAGCAAAACCAGTTATTTCAGTACTAAACTGGTAGCTCCACCTAGTGGTGTTCATGACCTATTCCAACAGGAATTGAAAAGCAGAGAGCTAGTCATACTAGCTGTACGCTACTCGTGCTTGCTGCTTGGAAAAGCAGTTCCTCATCCACATTGCACACTGCACACCCCCACCCCCGAGCTTCATTTTCACCAGCACTGACTACAAATAGCTCTTATGGCCTTACACTTAAAAAGCATGCCAAAAATCTTCATTTTTTTTTTATCTTTCATTTTTGAAACAACAAAATACTGCTTTTAAAATCTCAGGGAGATAAAAAAGGTGCCAGAAGTCTTCTGACAACTTACTTAGGGACACATTTCCATACCACTGATTGTATAGTATTGTCGTTACTGTGACAGACCCTTCCGGGCCTAGAAGTTGTTTCTCAGAAAGACTGTTCCTCCAGTATGGACCCAGCCCAAGGAATAGCAGATGGCTCATCTGTTCTTACTGTCTTCTCCTGGCAAATGGGTATCTGTCTGGATAATGCTCCTATTTGGTATCTGTGAAGCCTTTTAGAGGAAGGTATTAAACTGACTTGCGACTCAGTGTCTTCAGCCCGAGGGATGACTTTAGACTGCATTTTCTCTACCTTCATTGCAGCAACAGCTCAGCATTAGTCAGGGTTGCGGCAGAATCAGAATGCAAACAGGGCTGACTCACCCCATGCAATACTGCAGTTATGTTGAGGGACTGGAGAAATACAATACAGGAAACTCTGAAGTTTCAGAAGTTCCTTTAAAAGTAAAAGCTTACCTACACTGTTTCATTTGGATATATGCCCCCCTGCCACCCTCCCCCCAAAAAAGGACTCCAACCAAGTGGGTCGTGTGCTTCTCAGATGACTGGAAAAAAGTTATTTAGTTGTTTTAAGTGAAATCCCCTCTCCCCAAGAAGGGCATTGCCACAATGAATCCACCTTTGTGACCTCAAGAACAACTTGCTGACATTCTCTTTGAAGTGGAAACTTCACTTGGGGGAGAAATTCATTGGCTTCTTTATAAAGACTGCATCCCAGTTTTTTAAAACATCCCAATTGCAATGCGTTGTGTTGCACACACTGTACTTTCTTCCAATTTTACATCTGGTTGAAGTTTTAGAAGTTTTGGTTTTGAACCACAAATCTCAAAATAAAATGGTGTCCCAAAACCTGGAGAACACCTCTTTCCCCATGCGTAACCAGGGTGGCAGACCAACCCGCTTTAAATGACAGTGTGACAAAGGCCAGGCAGTTTTGGTGAGCATTCTTCCCCACATGAATATATCTCTCTGAAAGACAGCATCAACTGTAAGTTATGTTGGACTGTTCATTTTTTTTATCTTAGACATACCTACAGACTGAGAAGGAAGGAAAACAATCATTAGTTAGATGTTGTGAGGTCTGCACTATGAAGACACACAGACAATATCTACATCTTTCAAATAAATATTCATAGCAGTCATAAGTGTGTCACAAACCTACTTCTACAATATGAAATAAAATAAATCAGTGATTAGTTCAACTGAACTGTTAAACTTCTATTTGCAACAGCAAAGTTAGTTAAGTGGAGATACCTATGAAGTATTTTGTATTTCTGGAATGAAAAATTGTGCAAGCTATAATGTGTCTACTAAGTTTGCATGTAACAACAGTTTCATTAAAAAGCAAGCTTCCCATTTCTCCAATGATATGATTATTTGTACTCAGTTCACCCAAATACAAGATGCAATAAGATTTAGATCTTAGGATAACCTGACCTAGTAGTAATTGACTAGGAATGTTTTATCTGCAGATCACAAGATTTTTTTCTTACTAACACCAACCTGTAAACTTGTGTTTTAATTTTCTAAAAAAACTGTACTACTAAAGCTGCCAGCCAGTAAGCAGATACAGCAGTTTTGAATGTTTCCTAATAGCTGAAGGGAATCAAAACTTTCTCCACACAATAATAACTACCAGAACTGAAGCCTACAGTTTTTGCCACAGAAAACCAAATTCTGTGCTGTTGTCCCCTGACACCGTGTTCTCAATGGTGTCTTTCATCTGGAATTCGCATTCCAGAGTCTGAAGTCTGAAGAGTTTGCATCATTCTCCTCCAGGACCTGCTGATGCTACTGACTGTATACTTCAGTGGTAACAGGTAAGTTTAGTGTCACAGAGTGAAAGGGAAAATCTGGATCATTGAATCTAGTATTCTGCTGTCTCAGGAACCACTTCAAAAGCTTGCTCTGCAGGTCCTTAAAAGGTGTTGGACTTGGACCACCAGGTCATTTTGTTTCAGAACTCCTAAGAGCCAGAAATCATCTTCAAATTCTGAGTCTCATTTTATTTAGGACTGTTTTTATCTTGTTACAGCACTATTCTTCATCTTAAATAGTTTACAGTAAGCTAATTAATAAGCAATCTATGTTTTGTTTTTAGCCATTATGCCTACAGATTTTTAAGATGTTCTGAAAACAAATAAATACAATGCACACTTACCTGTATGCATTAATGTAATCCTTTCTGTGTTGCAGAAGAAAATCCTTCAGCTTTCCAATATGAGAAATCTAAATGAATAGAAATCATAGTTAAACTTCAGTCAGATAACTGATTACTTTTATGTAATCAGCATTCCACATTTCAATGTGAATTTGTAAAACTATTTATCTGTAATTAAACAGAATCATAAAATTTACTTTTATACTAGGATTTTCACATTTTGCCAGTAGTCAATACATAAAAATAATCTAAAAAAGATCTGTTGCAAAGTACAACTCAGAAAAAGGTAGCAAAAAGTACATCTTCCATCCAAAAAGCATAAACTAAACACTGAACGCTACTAAACACTAAATATAACTACAATATTAAACATTATAATAACACCACAAAACGCTATCTAAACTGGTAGTCCAGAACTTAATGTACACTTTAGAAAATAAATTAATTTTAGAAAATCACACAAGAAAGTTTTAAACATTTTACTGATGAGACATAAGTATTTGAGTTCAGTTACTAGCACTTGTAGAACAAGGTGCTGTCACTCTCCTTTCTGTTTTGCCATAACTGAGACACCAGTTTGTGCTCAAACTAAAGTAGTATCTCTGTCATCTGATAATCATTAGGAGGTTTTGCCAGAGCCTCCATTTCTATTTCTGGATTTCCACTTCACTGTGGATATACTTTGCTATAAATCCACTTGATTTTCTTTATTAAAAGGCTTTACAAAGATCCTTTGAAAAGATGAAAAAACTCCTAAAAATCTGAAAGAATTTTTGCAAACTTTGGTCTGATTAAAAAAGATTTGGTCTAGCATAAGATGCTGCTTATCTTACATAATGTAGGATCTACAGAAATCAAGTTTAATTGACCATAGAAATGAGATGACTACCAATATTTAGCAGGTCTTGAAGGAGAGATGATGCAGAGGAGGAGGGGGGAGAATTATATACATTAGTGGTATATATTTTCAAGGGGGAGGCAGGGGGAACCTTTCTAAAGCATATTGTCAAATATTCATTAATAATTCAGTGTAAAAAAGCATGCAAGGAATTTTACAAAACAATAGTTGTTTTAGTTTACAAATACAATAAATGCTGTTTACTCCATTTATCCGGGAAAAAGCATCAGAAACTGTTCAAGTCTTAAAATCCTATTTTCATGCAAATGCTCCTTGTAATTAAACAAACAAAAAAAACCACAGAGAAAGAACAGAGAATAGTTTGGATAAATAGAAGATTAATTCCCCCAATTATTTTTTCCAAAAGATCAGCAGCTCTTTGAAAAAAGAGCAAAAAACGTTCTTAGCAATACCACAGTGGTTTGCACGACTAAAAATAAGCAGTTCCTTGTGCAAATAAATGCACATACATTTCCTTATTATTATTTGCTCTGCTTCATTTTTACTACAACTCATCATACTGGATGAGAATTTTCCCAGTTTTTATGTTTAAAGTTTTGCATGTGATTAACAGGATAAGAAATTTCATCTCATTCATAGCAAAATGAGTTCTGTTAGTACCTCCAGTAGATCCAAAGTTTCCTGAAGTGTGTTAGCACTGTCATAAGTGATAAGAAGGGAAATACTGAAAACACAAGATCAATGAGGGACAAAGAACCATTCTACAGATGTTCCTTCTCATCACCACTGGAGCTTATTTCTGTATACTAATCTCCTTCTCAGCTCAGATCTGGTATGTCATGAAATTTGCTGAATAGGTAAATAAAGCTTCACTATGAAAGAAAAACATTTAAAACAGTCATACAGTGTTTCAGTAGAACAATAATACTTCATAGGCAGAAAGAAAGTACTACAAAGGACAAAGAGCAGAAACATAAAAAAAGGAACACATTTCAAAACATTTACATTAATACCTGAACAAACACTAAACTAGAAAAGAGATTAGCAAAACTTTGTAAGTAATACATCTTAATATTACTGCAATAGCTACAATTTAGCAGTGATTAACAAGCAGAAAGAATCAGAATGACAAGCAAGAACACTGTCTTACAGTAATTAATTCATCTAGTCACAAAGAGCATTCTATTTAGGCTAAAATTGTCATCGTGTGTTTGAATTGCGCTGACCCCACTTTGCCTCTCCTTCATTTGTAAAGCTATTTTCATGAATTTAGAATGACACCATTATGCCCATACTCGCATCAAGCTCTTAGTTCCCAAGATTTGCATCAGAAGTGAGACTTCTTGTTCTACTTTTCCTCAAATTCTAACAGCATCTTCTGTGATCCTGCACTGCTGCCATTTCTCTTTTGCTTTTTCTTACCATGTACTACTGGCATAGTTTTAAATTCAATTTGTCATCACCATATCAACAACATTAAACAATTTTTATGAAAAAGAATGTCTCACTAGTATAAGAGAGAATGTGAATTTTATGGGGGGGAAAAAAAGATTTTTTTTTTTGGTACAACACTTAATCTTCTGCAGACACAAAATATCCCCGATTATACAAATACAAATCTTGAAAATATCTCCAGCGTCATCAACCTACAATTACTCTGGGGTTATCAGAGCCATACCATATACTCTTTACAAAGTTATCAAGCTCCAGCCTAAAGGTAATAAAGCATCTCCCTATTTCAACTGAATGGCTTTATTGGAATCCTACTGCTCTTATTATGAATAAGATTTCAAATTTCCTTGTTTACTTATTACCAATTTCCATCCATCTGTTCTTGCTTCTAAACAGTCTCTTCCCTTAGAAGCTCTGCTTCCCTGCATGTGTTTGAGTTTACCAACAATAATCCTATCTCCCTCTAACTTCTGTAGCCCCAAATGACCCCAAGCTTTTAGTTTCTTCTCACAAGACAGTTCTTAAGTTGCCTAACCCTCAACTTTCCTTTGCACTCGCCCCAGTTTGTATTCATCCTTTTCCAATGCAGATGACTAGAAGCTGGAAATATCTTTTCTTCTACCATTTTTATTGATTAATTTTGAGCTTATTCTTTGTTTTGGTCTCTAAATACATGTTCTACTACTGAATCTCTTTCTTCTCCCCACAACTCCAGACCCCAGAGTCAGTCAGCACTTGTAACAGATCCTGCGCCTCCCCCTTCTTCCTCTCAGCATTCCACCATCAGTAAATTTTATTGCTCCATCTTAGTCTGGGATTGATTTTAAAACTCATTATGTTTAGTACTGCTCTTACTTTGGGGAATGCAGAAAGTAATTCCACTATTAACCTCCCTTCAGCCCAGTCCTTCTTTCAACACAGAAGCATTGCTTCTGCTTATTCATCTTATTCAGTTAATATTTTATCTGCTGATCTCCTGTAGACTTCTTTTTAGCACTTTATCAGATGCTTTACCATCAGACACCGGGTCACCTTAACAAAGGAGAGGCAGATTTTCTTAAAAGCGTCAAGTTGGTTGGGCACATTCTATTTTTAGTATGACAGCAAATTACACTGCATTGTATCTTGCTTTCTATTTGTCTTTTTTTCCTTAAAATACTTTCTGAATCCTGGACCACTTCTAGGTCAGGTACTGCTGATGTCGATGTCATTGTCAGTTTCCCTCTGCTGACTTAATTACAGGCACTGAATTTGCTTCCTTCTCATCAAATGGTACCATATTCAATTCAATGCATTTTCATAAAAAAACCCTGCCTTCAGAACTTGGGATTTCTTAATTCTACTGTGTGTGAACTCAACCCAGAGATTATTTGATACCCACAATTTGACTGCATTAAAGTTTTGAGATTTTGTACAAATTTCCAATTCTGTGCTCTGGTTCTCAGTACATATCTTGCTTTTACCCTGCTGGTCTATGGCTTTTTCTTTATTAATTTAGTCTGGAGACCATGCCTAAACTATTCTTAATCTGTACTCCAGCTACATTGCAGATCTACTTTTTTGCCAATTCTTTTTTTATTTACAAGCTAAAGAATATTTTAACTTTGGGGGGTGGGGGTGGGGCGGGTGTTTAGTACCATTAGTTAACTCATTGTGAATTTTGCCAAACCTGACTTTATCTCTACAAAATCATCCCTTCTGCAACAGTTTTCTTGGCCAGTCAGACTCTCTCTCCCCCTGCTTTTTACTGCCTCTGGGCTAATTTTTTGTATTTTCTCCAATTAATCTTTCAAGTAGACCTAAAATAATTTTTAATCCCACTTGCGTTTCAGCATATCCATTTTTCCACTCCATTTACCCATCCACCGTAACTGCAACTTCCTATTTGCTGTATATACCTGTTTTCAAAACAATTACACTACCAGTTGACGCAGCCATCAAATGATGTATGAAAGCAATTTGAAGAGGAAGCACAGACATCTAAGTATTGGCCTCTTGTCATGGTTCCTATTCTCTGCCTCTGGAAATAAGCCACCTTCTTTTCTGAAAGTCTGGAGCAGAGAAATAAGGCTCTACTTCAACTTCGAAATAATGAAATTTTTTCCCCTGAAGGGATAGGAGGGCTTAGAGAAATGTCCTTCATAGTTGCAGCTCTCTTGCACTACATTAAGACTAACTTACCTTGCAGGAAAGAACACTCCTGAAGTTCCAGCTATAACTGACATTTTTGTGAGAATCATGGGGAAAAAAATACCTTTTCTCCTAGTATTGCCAACATCAGTTATATCGTTACATTAACAGCATGCTCTCAAGCTTCTATTCACTACCAGAATAGGGAGGGCTATGTTCTTTCTGACAAGACGACCACTTACAAAACTCCAGGCTCTCCCTCTACTCTTCCCATTCCCAGTGGCACTCCCCTGAGGGTCAATACCACACACCAAAACAACTGTTTTTTTTAAATTACTCTTCTGAAAAAGGGGGTTAATAATGCATAAGACCAAACATAAAGAACTGGTTTCTTTCATTTCAGCTCCACAAATACCTGTATTGGCACAAGGGAGAGCAGAGGCTGGATAGCATGAGTAAGGAACTTCCTAAAAGATGCATCTGCCATGAAAGGAGGTCTATTTAGTTACAACTTAAGAAACTTAACATAACCTCCTAAGCTCGGGTATCAAAGGTAGAGACTCCAGGTGTCATTTAAAAAATCCCAAGTGCAGTTCTGATCATGAAAAACCAATTGATTCTCTACAG